CACCCTGATTTACGAATAAATTCTTTACAAATCCTACCATGTGAATTCATGGATTTTTTTTTCACATTCTGTCTCTCACAGTTGAAGTGTACCTCTGGTGGAAATTACTGACCTCTGTCATCATTTTAAGTGGGGGAACTTGCACAATCGGTGGCTGACTAAATACTTTTTTGCCCCACTGTATATGTGCATTTATGCCCTAAACACAGGTTGGAAAAGAGTACAGAAGAGTGATACTGGAAGCTGGGGGCTCTGTGGATGGGATGGACATGGTGAAAACCTTCCTCGGACGTGCACCGTGTCAGGATGCTTTTTTCCAATGCAAAGGACTGGTTAACTCACAAGAAGCATCAATGTAAACTGATGTGCTCTTTAACTGTTTTTGTCATTATTATATTAGATCTGGATGCAGGTACTATACAGGTACTGTACAGGTAATTTACAGAAAAGGTTCTGGTTGCTCATTGCCAGGACTGTCCTGTAATTATAAAGCAGAAAGCTTTTGTTAGTTCGGAGAAAATGATCTGTTTCTCTTTAATTTGTCTTACTATGAACCCATTGAAAAACACATTTCTATTGTAGATACTGAAAAAATGGGAACTACTTTTCTGTCATTTAATTGTTTTTCTTTTACATAATTACTTTGATGTTGTATGGATGACGATGGTGGAGTTATTTATAAGTAGGAATTGCTGTAGAACTCATGTCCATAATTTAAGCCCCCTTCACATTTTCCAAAGCCATCCAGTGGGCAGAATTGGACTCCTTCCAACGATTCTGGCCCCTGGGCCTTATGTTTGACACTCGTGCAATGAAGAATGGACATTTCTTTATATTAAAGAACATGAATAATCTGGTTTCCACAGTAGGTCTTTTTGGAAACATACATTGTCATCATTAATTTCATTACTTATGCCATCACTTATGCTGTGACATGTCAGAATTTCCTTCAATGCAGTGATCAGATACTATGTCAGTGGTACAAAAATACTAACAGCAGGCTTTAGTTACAGGTATCCAAGCATAGAAGCTAACATACCCTTACTAGATTCACAATATAGTTAAAATCCTCTTTTCAACTGTTTCTTTCTGCTGCCTCATAATATTACATTTATCAGCTACCTACTCTTGGTGGCCTGACAACTTCATTAAGTCGTTTAGAGGGTTAACACTAGAAGTTAGACTGTTCAAGCCTTTTACATTGAACACACCTGTTTTTAAGTTTCAAACATTATGGGGTAAATTCTACGCTTGAAAGGCACTTGGCTATTTTAATGGATATATCTTTGGGCTATCTTTAAATCTCCATTAAAAATAATTAGAAAAAAGGCCAATATTATTCTATTTAATTTAAATTTCCAGTGAAATGCAAAAAACTTCTACTTACGCCAGAGGGCGCCACGACATAACAAGAACGATGAAGGCTGCTGCAAACCGTACAAACACCTTTTTTTGTACGTTATATGTAAATGGGTTAATAAAATACCTCGTCGGTCTGGTTTGTATACGTGTTTGCAGTCTGTGTGAATATCCTGTAGCCTATTTGAAAGGGAAAACAGTGTCAATAAGTCAATGCACAGAGGAAGATAAGCGGAATCACTAGCAGTGTCTGGGTGAGATAGTGAAAGCGTCGTCCCCGGGGCTCGGTGAGGCTGGAAAGGCGACTACTGGTGGACAGCTTTCTCCATGTACCCGCGGAGGTCGCAGAGAAGAAACTCGCCACTTCGTGCTGTGCCCCACAGCCTCAATGTAGCTTCGTTCCAGTCTGTAGAGCTGCGCCTATTGTAAATGAGCGAAGACCTGGAAATTATGAGCGAAAACATCTGGGTGCGGCACACTTTAGAGGAAAAGGTTTCGCTGTGCCGGAGGTGGTTCGCAGTTTTGCCTTTTGTATTTCCTTGCTGAATGTAGTGGACATTTTGGATTTTTTTAATGTTGTGTCATTAATTTTCATCAGTTAAGGACCATTTTTGCTCTTGTCTTCGTCGTCGGTCAGTCTGGCTGTGCCACAAGGCAATATTTTTATGTCTCAAAACTGAGAGGGACAACGTTAAACTTGAGGGCGGCTCGCTGAGGAGAATGTACGCACTGGGCCAGCTTCGAGTTGCTCTCTAAGTAAGGCAATACTAGCTAGCTGCTAACACTAGCCAGACCCAATTGAACTGCCGTGAAGCAAACCAGTGAAACCAGCTAATGCCCACTTCTCAAGGTGTTTGTTGGGTAGTATCAGCCTGCACATAAGCTGGATATCATTAAATGAGACGCTGACCCGACAGTAACTCAGGTAAGTGTCTTTGTTTGCGCAAGTTACTGCTTCTCTGCGGGGCCCCACACAGCATGCTAACGCTAGCTGTAGCGTTGTATCGCTGAGGTCCCATTCTCAGGTTGTCCCACTTGAAGTCTCGCATTAATGCGGTTGATTTTAAATGTGGAATTATACGATAATGTATTATCTGAGTGCTTGTAGTTTAGTAATGGCTGTGAGAGCATTGTTGGTTTAAAACAACAGGTTTTAGACTGTATTAACAGACTTGAGCAGCTGTGTTTTCGGAAGGTTTCGCATCATATGCTTTTGCCCCTTTGCGATGTGGCTCGCTTGGCACTAATTTATTCGATTTAGAAAGCGGTGTAGTACATTTCAAGCTGTCAGTCTATAAGTGTTGATGATACTATTCATAAAACCAGCCATTAATAACTGCACCGCAATAGCAACACTCGCATCTTTTGTTGCGCCTACACTGTATAGGACGGATTAGCGCGCCGTACTTATCAACATATTGGCGTTTTCATTTTCTCGCCGCTTCATTAATCAGATTAGTGTCCTCACTTAACTCCACTGTAATTTAATCCCGTTAAGATCCGGGATAAATTCAGGACTATTCTGAGGAATTTCAGCAGGTCTGTCCTAGCCTGTCGACTTGTTGTTAGTGTTCGTCATTCACCGCTCTGGGAAATGGTGTAAGGAGATGCAATCAGGTTGAGTCTCAGGGCACCATGAAGGCAACGCTCAGGTAGACAAGCAATAAGACCGGGATCGAGTGTCGTTAGTAAGATACCCTAGATTAAATCCGCAACTTCTCACTGGAACGTAATTGACTATAAAGTACAGTTTAGAGGTGAATCGGAGATATTTATGCATCTGTGTAGATTATCTTAGATTTCATAACATAACTTTACAAACTTACTGAACCAGGTGGAGTCTTGTCAGAGATAATATTTAGTAGTAAGTTGAGATACTAACTATCGATGTCATGATAACAGATTTTCACTTAATGAAAAGTATTATTTAAACTCAAAATTCACGTGCGTGGAAGTGTCAAAGGCTACTGCAACCATAACTGTGCGAATACATACACAATTGCGGTACAATTACACGTTGATTTTCAATACTATACGTGCATTTCGGGCACAGTGTTTTGTAATTGAATTTTTCAATCTCACAGGTGTTGTCAGTGGCTGGCACATGAATGTCTTCCAGGGTGATTTAAAACTCAACCGTTGAATTAGGTATTTAGAGCTGTCAGTCAAGCAAACAGAAACCTTATCAGATCAGTCTTTAAAGGCTCTCCCAGCTGTAATAAAATGTAAACAAAGACTAGGCTCCATCTTCCCCTGCTTGTCAATGTTATGGGCCCTTTATCTACCAGCTGATATTCAGCTGTTTGGAGAAGATTATTCAGGTATTGGTAATGAAACTGACTCAAAGTATATATAATGTAAGCAGAGAATTGCCAGAATTTTGGATGTTTTCCCAAAGGTGCTTGTGTACACTAATTTTGTATTCTTGTAGATACAGTTCCACTCATTGGGAGAAGCTGTGTATTGAGTATTTTATATATCACTAACAGAAGTGTGTATAGTATTCTTACAGTACACTGGTTTCATGGAGGTATTGAAGGCCTGTCATGGCATTTTGGTTATCAAGTTCCTCATGTAATCATTTACAACAGACCTTATCTAGAACTGAAGATAAGGTTCACTGTAAGAAAGGCTCTTTCCTTTACTGTTCTTTTCTCGCACCGGTGTCAAAGAAGTGTTGTTCCACTTGCCTGAAAGTTTGTTGTGTCAGTCGGAGACAAGACGCTGCCAAAAGCAGTAAAACTGTGTTTCTTATCTTATGGGTATATCATGTTAAAAGCTTTTCTTAAACAATGAGTGATCCTGCTAAACTCACAGTCAGCGGTATATCTACTGATGGAAAAGTGGCTGTACAGGCTTATCTATTTTTGTTTACATCTGGTGTTGGCTGTTAAACAAGTACGTAACATGGTGCTTTTCATTGTCACTGGATCTTAACATGTCTTTTCTGATGACGTTTTATACCACGTAGGAAACCTTTTTTTTTTTTTCTTCTCCCCCCTCCTTAATCTTCTGCTTCTGTGACCATACAAGTGCTCATTTCCTCATCAGCGTGTCTAGCCTTGATCTGACTCGTATCCTTATTTCTACCTTTGTTGTTAGTAGGTAACATGTAGTGTGCTAGTCCAAAGAGCACATGTTTGGTGACTAACTGCGCATGTGATGTTGTTGACGAGTTGGTGGCTGACCGACGACTGAGACACCCTGTGAGAAGTGTTTACCACGTTAGGAAATTAGCTGATCCTTGCTGTGACAGACTTTCCTGTGTGAATGTGGTAGAATTTATGTTGTGTCTCTAATAAATTGCTCCTGGCAGGTGACTGAGTCATCATGTTAGAAATGTAGAGTATTGTTGGAAGAGTTGAGGGGAAATAACTTTCCTTAATCTAAACTGTGTTTGTAGTGGTTACCCGAGAAGTGTTGTCACATTCCTCATCATTCATTTACATGCAGACTATATTGATTGATTCAGTGCTATTGTACTTGTCCCATGTCTTCAGGCGTTTTGTGAAATAACAGAATGCAGGGAATACTTTGTCAGCATGTGCAAGGATTTCTCCAGTGTATTAAAAGTCCACTTGACCATTTTTAGACATAGAAAAGTTACTAAAGAACTTGTCTAAAATTTGACTTAATGTTTTACCTGTTCAGCTCATAAACAGGCCCGACAATTTGTAAAAGAGGTTAAATATGAAGTGCTCGCCTTGTGGTATAGAGACATCTTACCTTGAATGCGGAAATTAGAAATGAGTGTCTGTCTCTCTCAGTCTCGCACTTTTGTCCTCCTGTGAGTAAAACTACACACACTCAGTTCTGCCGTTCTATCTGAGCAACTGCACTCTTAGCAGCCTGTAGGTTTTGTGGTGGAAACCCTGATGTGGGAATCAGTGGCATCATTGCAGAGATGTGTTGAAAACAGTGTTAGAAACCAGTTAAGTTTTGGGATTGTAATATTAGATCAATATGTATATATTTTTTAAACTAGTTGATGCAATTTATGTAGAAGTCGTTGTTAGGTTGGATGAAAAAGCTGAAGGAAAAAACGGGCAATGCTTACAACCTAAAATGACGAAAAAAGTAAATGTTAGACTTTAATTGTGATACTTTGGCAATTTAAGCTTGCTGATTTAAAAACAAAGACAAGGACACTGACAGATGGATAAATTAGTTTAAATTGGTGGTTTCAGATCCACCAATCACATGATGAAATTCAAATGACTAATGACCCATCAGTTGTCAATTGTTTCCACCTGTGTCAGCTAAGCAGCAGTTGAAGTTGCTATGCTGATGGGCTTCTGTGTGACTAACTGTAACCAGCTGTGAAAATTTCTCTAATATGGGCTGTGTACACCACTTGCAAAATTGCTAATACACTCCAAAGCATAACTGTTATTGATCTAGCCTAAAACTCATAGCACCCCAAGAAGTTGCTATACAGATGTTTTTTTTCTTTGTGTGTGTGTGTGTCTATGTATGTGTGTGTTCCTGATGTTTAAACATGTAGTCACTTGAGTAGGATGGAGGTAGTTTCTGTGTCTTCTTCAGAAATCCTTGAGAAAGTTCTAATTGATCTCTGTGGGGTAGTTACATGGCTCTTCTCTCACTAAAATGCATACAAATGAAAAAGTGTAAGCCTGCTGGCTTTAGAAAAGAAGTTGTTGAAAGAAGACGAAGTTCCTAGTCGTGGATGATAAGATGATAATTGAAAGTCAGGTCAGAGAGAAGATTTTTTGATTTTTCTGCTTCTCACTCTCTTGCTTGGAACATTTTGCTTATAAAATTTAAGTAATTTATTATTTTTTTCATTTCAGTTAATGTTTCAGAAATGGTAACAGTGCAGAAGAGTTGATAGCACACATCACGAGCTGGTTGTCTTGGTGTATTAAAAAAATGTTTTCATGGTAAGTAGTGCGAGGCTAGTTGTGTTCCATCCTTTAAGAACTTTTATTTTTTTGTAACATAGCGGGGCCTTTACTTTGCAGCAATCCCAACAAGGCCAGTTAAAACATGATCATCACAACATAGTATTGATGAACTTCATTCCAGTAATTTGTTGAAATTATTGTTGGTATCAACCGCTGTTTTGTTTGGCTATTGCATTATCCAGAGGCACCTTCACTGTTATGGATTATAGAAGTGTTTTCACTTCCATGTGGAAGCTGAAGTTGAACCTATAGGAGTCCTACAGCCAGAGTGTTAAATGTCATCTGTGTGTTTATTTTACTTTAGACGTGACTGACAGGGAGACGAACCGCTTTCTATTTTTCATGTGGGTCTCATATGTATGTGTTTTGTTTTGGTTTAGATTTTTTGTTTTATGACCATCAGCCTTTGGGCCTTTGCAGTTTTCCAGGATAACTGTGAATCCCTGAAAAGACCAGTGTTTTGTTGTTGTTGTTTTTTATTCTGCCAAGAAATGCAAGACAAGCACGCAAAAGCTTGTACCAAAGTGGGACAAAAATGGTTGATTTGATTGAAAGCACGGACCACATGTTTGAGGTTAGAAGTGCAGTCACGTAACAATGCAAGATCATGGGATTCGTGCTACCTTATGTGAGCCAGTTGTGGTTAAACTGTTATCATACTTGTGCAGAATTAGAGGATGACAGTGAAAGAGACTATAGCTGCAGATGTTTCTTTTTCAAACATGGTAGAGGATGATTTTTATGGGGATGTGCATGTCTGTGCTGATGATTGCATGGGATTAATTGGAGGGAGTGTTATCTGTGACATGCTCTTCATACAGTAACTGAAGCAGCTAATTTGATGTGGAACAGGCTATATTAAGACTAGGGATGTCCCAAGCTGATATTTATAATTTATGCCAGCTTTTCAGTCCAACTGACCTAGGTCTAGCTGTATAAAAAACACTTACGCTTCTCTTCGAAATTAATTCTAGAGTAATATAGAATTGGCTAATTTGTT